TTTTCTGTGCCAAATTGTGTGATGTTTATGGCCACTCTTTCCCAATTTTCTTTAACGCTCAATTTTTCCTTCTCCCATAGTACATGTGCTGGATTTACTGACTGACATGGTTCGCTTATTTTATGTACTTCTCTAACGTCATTTACGGTAGCGGTTGGAATTACTTTACGAGCAAAGTTTAGAGTGCGGTTTACTCCAAAGTGTCCAGTTCTCTTGTGTATGCTAGATATGAATTCAGCCTCTGCAAATACTGCTCCAACGGAATTGCTCGAATTCTTAGCCTCCATCAATTTATTCAACCATCTACTTCGAACTCTAGTCAATGCGTCAGCTAAGTTGTCTTTTGAAGGAACAAGTTTTACATTTACATTAATACTATATTCTTCAATACATTGTCGCAGAACGCCTGACCTTCTTCGAATCAACATTTCACCCATTGCTTTTGATTTCAATCTTGACTTACCAGTGAGAGCGTCAGAGACACAGTAGAACACTGTCACGGAATCTCTAAAAATAGTTACTTTCGTTAATTTCCACGTCAAAGCCATATTCATTTCTCGCATTACAGCATCCAGCTCCACCATATTTATGTGATCCTCAGACATTTCTTTTCGTAGCCGTGTTGCATCTTCTACAGTTGTTTTTCCAACTTAAATAACTGCACCACTTGCCAAATAACTTGCATCAACCCACACATTCCTCTCGTCACCATGTACAGCACAATCACCATAAGGTGGATCTCACTTTGCAGCCTCATCATAAACCTCTTGAAGTACACGCTTTAATTTTTCATTGCAACTTTATCGTCCTAACCCTTCGTAAAACTAACAACTCACCTTTTAAAAGACTACAAACTACACGTACCCAATCACATACTGATAAATGACCTAACAACTGCCCACAAACGGAATAGCAGTCTCAAATAAAGATAAAGTCAATAAAATTAAATATGACAAAAATAAGATGAGACCACCCAAAGAGCAAATTCCCTTAATGGCTGTTATTCAACGAAACAAGCATTTTAATGGAGCTCATTCCCAGCATTATATCAACTCTAAACGGTTGAAAATCCACTAAAATAACTTCGTCTTGTGTTTCAATACCATAAACCTCAATAGTGACAGCCGCTAATCCATTACATCGATAAAATTTACCACAAAAAATTACTACCTTTGGAGGATTTTGGGATTTATGTAGCTTTTTTGACACCAGTTTTTGATATATAATTGTCTTTTGAACAACCCGCGTCTACCATAGCTGTTGCTAACAAACCATTAACTTTTAGATGAATAATAGATAATGCCCTAATACCACCATTGTTCAAGAACAAGGCATCGCATATTCCTCGCTCCCGCACTTGTTTCTCTGCTTCATTAAGCATTTTGCAGCCACGTGTCCTTCATTCTCACATTTAAAACATCGAAAAAAACTCTTCGGAGCCAGAATCTTTGCAAAGGGACAGTTTCTCGCGATATGATTTAACCTTTTGCAGTTGTAACACACCAACAGAACTTTTGTGGCTTGATTCCGAAAAACAGCGCCAACAGCATCATCTACGCAAACACGATTCAAAGCAGCTTTTTGCTTTGAGTAACATAACATCGATTGGATCCATAACAGCTCGAAATCTTAATGATAAATCTTCTAGCAATCCAACAACAAACGCTAATTGAGTAGACTCTTCTGACAATTTATCAAGATAAGCCAATCGTTTTAACTCGACCAAAAACGCATTAACTTTCTCTCAAACATTTAACTTTCGTTTAACAAAATGTTCGTATGCCGTACAAGCATTTAAAGAGAATGCTGCTAAAAAGACACGTTCATCTTCTTTTTCGTCTTGCTTATTTTCAGCGTTTAAAACATCGTATAACAAATAGGCAGTTCCAATTAAAAGAATTGGAATGAGTGACTTCAGCTTTACATTTTACATTTCTGCAATCACTTTAGTTCGCTGTATCCAAGCGACAGCGTCCAAAATTCCATTAAACGTTTCAAACATATCTAATAATTTGATACTCAAATCCATGGCCCGGATAGCTTGTAATTTTTTTGCTCGAAACAAAACTTCTTTTCTTTCCAAAAATTTATTTTTTAACTTGAATTCAACTCATCTAACAAAAATTTTACATCCGTTTATATAATATACCCACCCACAAAATCAACATTATAAAAACCGCTTAAGTCAGAACTACAATTAAGATAACTAAAAAGTTTTAGTAAAAGAAACCACGTAATTGCAATAGAATGTTCTAGAACTGTCTTTTATTTACATTTACAGAGTGCGATTTCACAAAACATTGTAACTCTTGCGTAACTTAGGGAAATCAGAATTAAATCTTAATTTTTTGTTATTATTTGGTATTAACAAACCCCAGTGGGCACACGCCGTTATTTCGACGTTGATATACAGTTGATTCTTAGTCGCGACGTCGTATAACCAAAAATCAACGTTGTATCAACGTTAAAAAATATGTTTAAAACTATCAAACAAATTCGACGTTGATTCAACGTTAATTCAACGTCTATAATACGAGTTCGACCGTTCGTAATTGCAATATGAGAACTAAATTACGCATGCGTGACTTTAACATTTTTTTATTAGTATAACAAATAACAACTAAAGACTTAAAAAGTTATTTATTAGCCCAATAAAAACAAGTAAAGTCACACATGCTAATAATTAGGCCTTCTGTTGCATTTTTATAAGGTTTTGAATTTGACAATTGAACAATAACACATGGCTTAACTTGTAATGCAGTTAGTTAGGTAAATATTAAATAGATATTTCTTTATGACTGTATTATTTCATGAGTGTGGATTACAAGTAGAGATGACTTGAATTATTTTTACAGTTTTTTAAGCACGTATTTTTTTTAGAGTTTGATTAAATTGTTTTACTATGTATGTTAGTATATTTGTCTATACTAGTTTATATATATATATATATATATATATATATATATTAATCCTACAGTTACGCGGCCTAAAACAATTTTTATTTTATGCTTGTCATTAGAGGCTTTACAAACAATAGGAATATAATTGAAATAATAAAAGAAAAAAGAATGCTTCCAAGTGCCAAACCCTCAGTCGATGTACCAGCACTTCCTTGTAGCAGCAGGCTACAAGATAGTCGATGTAGCAGCACTTCGTTGCGAATCAGGCTATAAGATAGTCGATGTAGCAAAACCCCCTGATGCAACAAGTTAGTTAGTTAGTTAGTTAGTTAGTAGTAAACGCTGTAACTGGCAGAGCCAGCGAGTGTGTTATCAGGCATACTTTGACAGCCGAAATGATCGATTGCTGCTCATCCAGCAATCAATTGCTGCTTTAAAGTTGTTGATTGAAAGCGATTTAACAATTTCTTCTGGCAGAGAGTTCCATAAATTCGCTACTCGATTAAAGAAGAAGTTTTCTCTGTGCATATGTTTGGTCATTTCCTTAGAAATTTTAAAGCAGTGACCTCGTGTACGATTGTTAACTATTGGAAAACGAATGCCTTTTTCTAGTTTATCAATATTATTCATAATTTTATACATTTGTATTAGATCTCCTCTTTGTCTCCTTTCCACTAATGTAGTTAAGTTTAACTCTTCGATTCTATTTGTATAGGAAAGATTTCTAATTGATGATACTAGTTTAGTAGCTTTGTGCTGGATTCTTTCGATATAGTCACAATCTAATTTAAGAAATGGAGACCATACCGGAACTGCAAACTCCGGAAGTGCAAAAATATATTTATTTTAGGCGGCGTAACTGTAGCTTTAAAATATATATATATATATATATATATATATATATATATATATATATATATATATATATATATATATATAAATAAATATATATATGAATATATATATATATATATATATATATATATATATATATATATATATATATATATATATATATATATATATATATATATATATATATATACATATATATATATGTATGCATATATATATTTGTATATATATATATATATATATATATTTATATATTTATATATATGTATATATATATATATATATATATATATATATATATATATACATATATATATATATATATATATACATATATATATATATATATATAATATATATATATATATATATATATATATATATATATATATATAAAATCATATATATATATATACATATATATATATATATATATATATATATATATATATATATATATATATATATATATATATATATATATATATATATATAATATATATATATATATATATATATATATATATATATATATATATATATATATATATAAATATATATATATATATATATATATATATTTATATATATATATATATATATATATATATATTTATATATATATATATATATATATATATATATATATATATATATATATATATATATATATATATATATATTTATGAGCCATGCTAAAAAGTATTATGCAGCTTGTGTTTTTTCGGCGATAACTCGACTTGGCTACGCATTCAGCATCTGTGCTTAATGCAGATTTTTTTTATATTTTAAAGTTATTTAATTTTTTTTTTAACTATTATTCAAGTGACGTTTATTTAAAAGAAATAAAGTTGTTAGTGAAAGCATTTAACCGCAATTGTAAACATATAGATTTTATTTAAGAAACAGTCTCCCTAACATTTTGTTGTAAATTGATAAAAGTATGTTAAAATAAATAAAATTTATTATTTCCTTTAAATTAAATTTTTATTTTGTCATAATATTTAAAAAAAAACCTCAAGTAATTTTCAAACAATTCACTGACTAAATGAATTTTGACGCGAAAAGAAGTGTATTTATTTACTATGTGATAGATATGTTAATAGACGTTAACTTTAAAGTATTTGAAAAACGATAGTGGCGCTATTTAACCTCTAACAGTAGACAATATATTTACTTTAGTGAATTAACGCAGAGTAGTTAGTTTATTTGAATAGTTATTTATTCATGCTGCTAAACAATCATTCATACTAGCAACAGTTTTAAAGACTGTCGATTTTATTGTTAAAATCATTCTTGAACATGCGATGAAAAAGTTGTTCGTAATTCACAAAAAAGATAATCATATGAATTTTATTCAATTGATATATGTAAAGTTTTAACATTTTGCACTAAATATCATGTTTTCTATAAGTTAAACATGTTTTCGATGATGTTCGGTAATTAATAGTTTTATTATTCTTTCTTTTTATATATTTTTAATATATTTTAATAAAATGATTCTATAATTAGTAACAAGATTAGAACAATATTTATATATTTTTTATATCAGGAACATTATTAGTAGTGTTTCCGCTGAAAAACAAAAATCACTTAATTGCTTATTAAGTTAATTTGTTAAGTACTACTTTAAATTATTAAATTGGAGTTAAAAAAAAAAGTTCTTAAAAAACTCTTTTTAAGCTTCCTACAAGAGAATGGAAATTGGCAGTTTTTCCGCCTAAGGTAAGTTCTATATATATATATATATATATATATATATATATATATATATATATATATATATATATATATATATATATATATATATATATATATATATATATATATATATATATATATATATATATATATATATATATATATATGTATATATATATATATATATATATATATATATATATATATATATATATATATATATATATATATATATATTTATATATATATATATATATCAAGGCCTTCTTAAACAGGCCGCAACAGCTCATTCTCCGTAAAATTAGCGAAGGCCGACTTTTTTACGGTTAAAATTATTTTTTATCTTTGCTTTTGTAAATAAAGTTCAGAAACAAATAAAGAGCTTTATTAGGACAAAACATTTTGATTGAATTTCGAAAGCAAATATTGTAGGAATTTTTTTTACGTTTAGAAATGAGATAATTACAATAAAAATTTAAGGAGTTTAGCTAAAAATGACTAAGTCTCGTTTTTATAACTATATGTTTATTTTAGCTGTTTAACACTTGTAATACAAATAATAAATTTTTTGATAAAAACAAGCAAATATATTAACTTTATTTTATTAAAATTTTTTTGACTTTTTTGACTCAAAGTATTTTATTTTGAAGTTGAAAGTTTTGCTTGTTTTATTAAACATTCTATCCCAAAATCTTCAGAGTGTTTTTTACAATAATTGTTTAAAAAAATGTTCACCAAAATGCAGCAAACTTTTTTAACACTTTGAACAAGCAATTGAAATTTACTATTGCAGTTAATGAAAATGTCAATTAATCCTTTCTTGCACAGCAATCGTGACACTTTATTCACAAGTGTCACTTCAAATATAAAAAAAACAATAAAAAACAAAGTAGACTAAATTGTTAGCAGGTTTTCTTAGTCTTCCCCTATTCAAAGAAATGATCAAAGTTCCATATTTTTGAAACATATCAAAGCTGTCTGTTTCTTTTAAAATTGAATGTAATTCTGGAAGTTTGTAAGCAATAAAACCTGCAATATATAAAAGTCCTTGTTTGCATTCATTTGGCAACTAATCCTCACAATTTTCACATATTGACATAATAAACTCCACATCAAGTTCACATTTATCACTGTGGTGGTGAGCAGGAAGAAATATTGTAAAATCTGTATGCTTGTCTAGCAACTTTCTAGTTTTGTCGATTCTAAATTTTTGAATAACATTTTGCACAGTTATCAGATATGTGCCACCTGACCCTTGCCGATATTTCCTAAACTGTTTTTCTAGTGGATCTGATTGCATATGTCCTAACAATACATAAGATACACCACAATTCAACAAATACTTGGCACAGCTTGCTAATCTTTTAGAAGTTTTTTGCAAAGCACTTGCAGTATCCATTGTTAACTTTTTCTCTCTTAATTTTGAATTTACGCATTTCAAATTTTCAGCAAAATACGAAATATAGTTCTCTAAGAAATCTATTTGCCAATCATTAACTGAAGAAATAGGCTTTCTTCGAATATCATTTAATCTAATATCTAGACCTTTTGCTTTACTGTTGACAATTAACTGCACTTTTTATTGAAACAAATGTTTCAATAAAAAGTGCAGTATCTTCAGCTTCAGGAAATTTTACACGTAATGCTGCAACTGTTTCATTACAAAAAACTTTAAGAACTAATCTAACATTTTGTCGTTCAATTGGTTTTGGTGACACAGCTTTTTGTGTTAAGGGTGACAACTTAACTATTCGACTATCTGCAGCATGAAGTTGAATTATAAATTTCCATTCTGCAAGTCGCACAGTATCGTTATCATTTAGCAATCTATATTTTAAACATTGTAATTTTTCAGTGATCCAATTATTTCGAATACATTTTAAAATATGCACAGTGTCATTTAAAAGATAGTATGCTGGAACTTTTTTTGCATTAAAATATTGAATTGTTTTTAGGTTTACTCGACAGTTATCCATTATTAACCCAAGAGGCTTTCCACCTGCAATTATAGTTTGTTGATTTAATTCTTCTATCACGCTTGTTTGAAAATTTGTTGTAACTTTACAAACTGGAAAAACTTTTATAGCAAGTCGTGGGCCACCAAAAAGACAAAGGAGCATAGTGCTAATGGTGTATTGTTTGTTTTATTTAATAAAGCTACTTGATGCCTAATATAACTTGCTCACTTAGAATCTGTTTCATTATTAATAAAATAACTAACAGCATTCTTCAGTTGAAAATAATATTTAATAACTCCTTTGTTTAAAAAAGACAGTTTAATTTGTAAAAGTTGGCTATATCCAGTAAAATAAATATCTCCATAATCTTCTAAAGTTATATATATTAAAAACTTAGGTACTGGTCCACAATGTTCATACGGTATTAAAGATATATTTTTTTCTTTTTCAACAAAATAAAATTTTTCTTCACAGTAATTTATTATTGACTTCAAATTTTTTACAATCGTATTAAATTGAATAACGTCCATTTTTTGAAGTTTTTGAACTCATCAGGTAAATTATTTCTTTCAGAGCATATCAACCCAGTCATATCAACCCAGTGACATATCGTTTTCTAGACACTATTGAAATACAAGACACCGGTATACCTTTAAAGACTGATGGAGGATGCACTGGAACAAAACTAGCACCTTTGACTTTTTTTAATTCTGCATCTTTAGGCCAGTGCTAAGTACAAATTCGCTTATAATCTGTAAACACAAAGTTTGCATTTGGAAGTTTTTTAATCCATAACTCGCAATCCTCTGATTTAAAGGAGAATCTATACATTGTGACATAAATATTATCTTTTACTTTTGTTTGTAATTTGAGGAGCAACTATAACCGCAGCATTTATTAGGCATTTTACGAGTTTAACTATTATAGTTTAAATCAAACAACCAATATCCTCATTGAAACTATACTTCTCCGCAAAAAAATCGGCCTTAGCTAGTTTTACGGAAAATGAGCTGTCGCGGCCTGTTTAAGAAGGCCTTTATATGTATATATATATATATATATATATATATATATATATATATATATATATATATATATATATATATATATATATATATATATATATATATATATATATATATAAATATATATATATATATATATATATATATATATATATATATATATATATATATATATATATATGTATATATATATATGTATATATATATATATATATATATATATATATATATATATATATATATATATATATATATATATATATATATATACATATATATATATATATATATATATATATATATATATATATATATATATATATATATATATATATATATATATATATATATATATATATGTGTATATATATATATACATATATATTTATGTATTAATTCCTAAATCAGTCAACTTCTATGTCTATGGCGTAATGCTGAACGGATTGGGGTGTGGTGCCAATTAAGTATTTCATTTCCAGACTTGATTTTAAATAGTTAAATTAAGTCACGACGGTTAAGTCTTTCTTCCAGGGAGGTCAAGTCTAAAATGCCTTATTTATTTTTTTAAGTATATGTTTTATATTGTGGGCTTTCTTAGTAACGTGTCCTTAGACTTTCTGCAAATCATGTATATCCCTAATTGTATGTGGGTTCCATCTTGATGCAGAGAATTCAAGATGAGGACGCACGAACACTATGTATATATTTTTTTAAAGTTCTACATTGCGGGCAACAAATGTATTTTTAGTTATCTCAAGCATCTTGTTTGCTTTAGAAATAGCAGTGTAAACTTTAGTGTTTTGTTTGAGGTTATTGCTACTTATGGCGTCTAAGTCACGTTCTGATAGGCTAGATTCCAAGTTGAATCAACTTATTGATATCGAGCATTGTATAGGTATGTTTTTTGTTCAAGCAACTAATGTGAAGACTTTTGCATTTGGAGATGTTTAGCTTTAAATGCCATGTTTTGGTCCACTACTTTATAGACTCAATATCATTTTGGAGCACAGTTCAATCATTCTGTTCTTCATTAGGTTGAATTGGGGCAAGAAGTTTAGTATTAGCAGCAAAGCTTTTACAGATTAACGTAAATATATTTTGGAAGTCATTTATAAAGAGTAGTACGTAATATATAACGAAGAGTAGTTGTCCCATAACCTTGAGGAACAACGCTAGAGACAGGTGCTCAGCCCGATTCGGCATCGCTTAGGATCACTCTTTATTTGCGGTTGCATAAAAAGGATTTTACTTATACCAAAATTTAACCGTTGATTTCGTATCTTTCTAGTTTCAAGATTAGAATTATATGGTGAACCTTGTCAAAGGCCCTGGCAAAGTCCAGGAAGAGCAAGTCTACCGATAGTTGATTTGTGGATGTTTTTGTTATGTAGTCCATCCTTTCAGGGTGATTTGTAGAGCACGACTTACGTTGAATGAAACCGTGCTCTTCTTGCGCAATCAAATTATTGTCAACAAGGTGAGCAAAGATATCTTGCCATACTATATTTTCTAGTAGTTTTCAAGTAACAGAGGTGAGGCTGAAAGGTTGATCAGTTGCTCGGTTCAGTGATCAAAACCTTTTTTGAATATAGGAGTGATGTTGGCTATTTTCCACGCCGTAGGAACTTCGGCTTGGTCAAGTGATTGCTGAAATAGTATGGCTGAAGGTTTTGCTTATTATGACGGGCAGCTGTGTAAAACTATTGGATGGATATTATTAGTCCTTGGGTTTTAATTGGGTTCGATTCACTAATA